CGGTGGTGGCGGTTCGTGTGCCGGCCTTGGAGTTGTCATGATGGGGTCTATGGCAGTGGTTTGGCCTGGGCGGGTTTGCGAGCTTTTGAGGCGGTCTTTCTAGATCTATGGTTCATTTGGGTTGTGGTTGCTCGAGCTTCTTCCGATTGTTCGCTTTTCGGTGTTGGCTTGGTTGTGTGGGTGATGGGGCTGAAATCCTGTGGGGAGGGCTTTTCTATATCTAGTATTTGTTGTTTTTTGGTTTTATGTGTTGTGTGATGTTGGTTAGTTTTTTTGTTTCGTGTTGTTTTTGGTTCTCCCAGTTGGGAGCTTCTCTCCTTGTGGGAGTTTTCTGTTCTTTCTTTTCGGTTCTCCTGGTTGGGAGCTTCTCTCCTTGTGGGAGTTTTTCCTTCTCTCCTTGTGGGAGGTTTGTTAGTGTGTTGTGTTTTTTTGTCTGTGGTTGGTAGTTAGGATTTAGACTACACTATGTGTAGCTCTCCCACCTAGATTCAGCTAGTTAGCTGGCTCTCAGCAATTTGTTGTTTCTAGTTTGTATTTTTGTGTTTCTATCTATAATACCTATCGTTTAAAAAAAATAAACAAATTATGGAACTGTTTTATTTTTATCTTTTTCCTTTTCCTGAGGTTTGAAACAGGTTATGGAACTGTGGATCTATTCTAGTTTTGTTTTCATTCGTTTTTTATTCAAAAGATTGTTAAGTTGTGTGCAAAATAAAAAAAAAAAAATAAAAAAATAAAAATGATGGAATTGGGCTTGTACAATGAGCCTTTGTTGTGTTCATTTTTTAAATGAAAAATATTGAAGATTGAATTGAGCTGGACAATGAGAATTCGTTGGGTTCTTTTTTTTTCTTTTTCAAAGAAAAAAAAAAGAAGAAGAACTAACCGAATTAGATTTTTCAATGAGCATTGTTGCGTTCTTTTTTAGTTTTTTTTAAATAAAAAATTCAAAAAGACCTTGTTTCATTATATTCGGATGTCTAGGTGTAATAAACGTGACAATGGATGGAAATCTTGTGCTTGATTTGTTTTTTAATAT